TCCACTTACCTAGGCAGCATCGTTTCAACTACAGTCAGTGGCGGCGGCACAGATGAGGATGTCAAAACCAGAATCGGAAAGCAAGACAGGCCTTCCTTCATTAGCCTGGAACCAGTATGAAGATCTTCTGCACTCAGCATGTGGAACAACATCCGGATTTTCAATACCAACGTCAAATCACTGCTTCTGTATGGTTCAGAGACTTGACGCATTACGAAAGGCATTTCCAACAAACTACAGACATTCATCAACAACTGCTTACGCTCGCCACTAAAGATCAGATGGATTGCCAGAAAGAATGAGCAACAAGGAACTCTGGGAACGAACCAACCAAGAACCCATCGCTCAACAAATATGCACTGGAAGGAAGTGGAGATGGATTGGGCATACACTGAGAAGGCCGACTGGGGACATCATGCGTCAGGCCAGGCCCTTGAGTGGAACCCCGATGGGAAGCGACGAGTTGGGCGTCTGAGGGGAGGGTGACATGGAAGAGATTACGTGAGGAAGAAACAAAAGCTTGTGGGGAGTCGTGGAGCCAGGTTTAAAAGACTGCAGAGAACAGAGTGCAATGGAGGCGTGCTAGTGAAGCCCTATGTTCCATTAGGAACCCAAGGGAATAATAATAATTTATAGATTCCGAAGGGAATGCTATAAACCTATTTGTATTCGGTTATTACTCATTCCCCTAAAAGCCAGTTATCTGATTTGGGCTTTTCTTCATCTTGTCTGTAGGTGACCGGTTCAAGGAACAACTTAGATTATTTTGTAATTGTATTTCAGGACCATGGTATACAGATAGCACATACAAAATTCGTGTACGTGACTCCTATAATATGTCTTCTTCACTGATAATGCTCCATAGCTTCCTTCTTGTTACCTTTCGACATGTATTTTACCCCTGATTCGACACAAAGCGTCCACTGTCACATTCCTATCTTATTGATTGTATATTTTACTCTTAAACACGAATTGCATATATATATTGGATTTAATTAAATCTATTTTATGTACAGTAACGAGTTTGCAAAACAGTATAATAAAAGTTTGCAATTCATCGATGGGAAACTCTGGATCCCGGTTTCATGAGCTCTTCAAGCTGTTTATATAGAACGTCATGTTATTTATCATCGTAGATATAAATATCTTTGAAGCGTTCGAAATAAACATTTTTGCTTTTCTGAAGTTGTGTTCCTTTGTCAATTTATAATAACTTTGTAGTGCACCTTCCTGGCACCAAAATATAACTAGGGCTAAAATAAATAGTTTAAATTAAATTAACTAAATAAATCTCTAGCTTGCCTCCGGATGCTTAGGGTGTTTTAAGTTTTGTTTTAACGAGCATGCATCCGAGCAGGCTTGGACGCCATTTTGCACCCCTCTGTGCTGATTACCACGCACGTACTCCGAGTCCCTAGTTCAGCTTTACAAGCCAGGTAAGTTGATTTAACTTTTCCCCCATTCATTATTATTACATTTACTTTAAATAAATACATAGCTCCTTCAAATATATTGCGTATCAGTTATTTTGATTTGTGTTTTGTTATCAGTACTTACGGGTTAGGTAAAGTACTGGTTAAGCAGGTACTAGAGCACAACAAGTTAAGTAGGGTTGATCAAACGTTACAGAATTGTAACACGCACCCCTACAACTTCATATGAAGACACTTAACTGATATCTTAAACTGCGATAAAGTATCGTGAAAACTTTGACTTAATAAAAACGATCTCTTCTGAGCTTCTGAATCGTAACTACAAAGGTGTGCAATGCAATGATCTGATTACAAGGAATCAGAATGTTGCTGCTTATTTATCCACGAAACTGATGGAACTCGAAGACTTAGAAGTGAACCAAACAATAATCTTATTCAGGAAAAGATAAATTACTTCACATTCTTTTTCTTTAACCCAAGTATTCGATGCAAACTGAAATAGTCACATCAAGAGATTAGCGATTAATGATTGATAATATGAAATGTTACTTCGACATCCTATACTTTGCATAAGACATTCAAAGCAGACGAGTAAGTCTACGACTTAGCTCTGAACTATTCAGAGTGGATCTCAACACGTCAAAGACCTTCTGTTCACAATTTTTCCAAGAATTTCACAGTTTGTGGCTAAACTAATCAGTTAGTAAGACTCGGTTAAGTCAACCACTGGAAAGTATGCGCGAATTATATTTAGTAATAAGAATGGGTTTCGTTGTACACATACTTCATACTGTGAGGTTGATTTAGTTGCGCACTTTACGGCATTCGTTATTAATCATCAGTCTCTTCCCGAGGTTTATATTGCGCAGGTGAATAATGACAGTTTAATGGTCAATTTATTAACAACAGAGAATGTGATCCCGCCCAAGTTAATCTACCTGACATGAATCAGTACGAGTGATAAGGACGGTTTCCGTTATCGCTAACTAATTTCTACATGCATGCTTATCACTAAAATGCTACCGAAATGTTACAACTAAAGACGTTTCACATATTTCTAAAGCATAAATTTATTTTTCAGGTTTTAAAATCCAGAAATATGGTATTTCCACTTAACAAAGCACATTGAAGAATATGAACCGCCTGATCTGATGCTTTGAAGTAGCACAAATGTCGCCATAACCTAAATGCACGTTAGTGGATAAGTGTGAGTTTACATTATTTGAAGTCATTAAAATCAGGGATCATCAAACAGCTCAGTAGTAGAATGGGACTGAATAGCGAATAAATAATGGAAACCTAAAATATTCAAAATAAACAGTCTCATGTTGGTAGGCGAACAATAAATGGATATGTTTTCATTTATCTATTTCCGTATATGTAGTGATTTCGGACTACCATTCGATAACATTGAAACGACAAGCAGTAAATAAGAAAAAGGATGTGTACAGTTACCGCTCCTGATAGACTTCTTGACAGACGTCTTAATGGACATAACTCTTGGTACTTTAGAATTCACAACGGTTCACCTACAAAAAGGGTATCTGATTAACTTGAACTACGCAAATAACATTGTTCAGTTAGACGAAGACGCTGACACAGTTCAAGGTATTCCGAACGCATTGAGCAGAAATCTGAGTATGTTTCGCATCTGTTGAATGCAACATGATGCTTCAGGATTGGTTTGGAGCTACTCCAAACTTAAGGATAGAGGGTGAAGTGGTACAATGTGTTGACCACTTCACTTACTCGGGTAGTTGAATCAGTTCAAATGACCTAGTTGGCAACGGAATCTCAACTCGAATACAAAAACCCTATTTATTATTGATAGAAAGTGGCTAGCAATGGAGTCCTATTTGAGACTCGTCAGTTGGATGTATCTGCCTTCCCAATGAGCCATGTTGTTTCCACTAGCAACAAGGTTAAAAATCGTACTTGGCAAGTGGCAAATTACGCCGTCTGTGTCGTCGACTGGCGAGATGTTAGACTATCTGTCGCTAGACAAGTACACTGCACCACAGTAATACCGCTGAGACACGGTCGTTGGAAACAGAAGACGCGATAAGATTACAGGTTTTCGAACGCTGGTGTCTTCGTGGCATTACTTGCGTATAACGGAATCACCAGGTGATCGATGTCGAGGTTAGGCGAAGCGTACTGAGCAAGTCGGTGGAAGAGGTTGTGAACCTTCAGCGACTGAGGTGGCCCTGACATGCACTTCGCATACCCAGCAGCCACCTTCCTCAACGTGCAATGTCAGCCGAAGTGTGACTGGGTTTCAAGAAGGTCGAGGGTGGTCAGTCAAGACATGGAACTAGTCCATGAAGTTTTTGATGATTGGTCTGAGTCATGTAGGGAGGTGCGGTTTGCCTTGTGAGAGTCTTTGAGATTTTTGGAGACCCTTGGTGATATGGCTGAAAATCAGCCACAGTTCTGTAGCAGTATACATTTTTAGATACCTTCACCAGTCATCATTTCTCGAGTTCTTTCTATTCTCGTACACTTTTGTGTACTTTAGTGCTACTTTTTTCTATTCCATTGTTCTTCGTATGTTGCTGTGAAGTGCAGCGACTAAAACCGATGTGCTTTTCTGCAAGGTTCCATGTGGAATTTGTGTGTTGACCAATAACTCAAGTTACAAACACTATCAGGAGTAGACATTCATACGCCTCAATCTGAAAAGTCAGAAAAAATAACTGACTTATCTAAACAGAAGATGTAAATGACAAACTAGTCATTTATGAGCTGTAGAAATAATTTGTTTCACCTCCGTAGTTTAATGTTACAAACTTGTGATACAAAGTATATGATAGCTTAGTGTTCTAATTGCCGTTGAAGTTTGTTTGATACCATTGACAGTTACGTCATTCAGAAAGCCAGCTCAAAGTATAATATACACATAGACAGTATTTCTAGTCTGTTTATTAGAAATATCAAACAGTGAAACAGTATAATTTACTGGATAACATTTCAGAACTAATCTAGTGTCCATGTTTATATCGTCTATAAGTATAAGCCTTTTCAGTAAGTTTTTATTCAGTACTTAACGGCTAAAAATTGATGAACAATGTCGAAATTGAGGATGACTTCGATGTATAGTAGTTTTGAGAAAAAAAAGACACGAAGTGAAAAAAGCGGCGGAACATTCACAATGACAGGGAGATGAAAGTAGAATATATATATATATATATATATATATATATATATATATATATATGTTGTTAAGATGATGAACAAATTTGTTACAAAATAAAATTAAACGGAGGGCAATAACGTAACAGTACATAAAATTAACAGCAAAAGTCATGATAAGTAAAAAAGTTTACATAAACAAAATGTATACGTAACATCAAAATGAGTTTAACATATTATCATAACGTGAAGGCAGTCAAAAGAAAATCAATACACAGAAAACACATTTTGATGGAATGAAACAAATATATATGTATGCATAAGAAAAATAACCGAAGGAAAGATGATACATGAATAAAAACAGAAGTGATCACTGGTTATCAGGTGTTTGTACGCTGTCAGAAGATGAAGCGGACTGAAGTAGTGTAGCATTCATCACTTCACAATCTAACTGTAGCATACTCAAAGTCCAAGTTGACTTATCATTGTCATTCCCATTACTTTGTGAGCCTAAGGCAAAAAAAAGGAAAAATTTTTCCAATGAATACATGTTAACAAGGTTACGTAAACTATTACGAACTACAGTAGTCATCCGTATTGTTTTTTTAATCAAAATTATGTGGCTACTGACAAATAAACAAGTAGGTCAGGACTTTGTTCCAAACGTAATAGTCATTATGCTGAAGAAGCTGTGGCGAAACGTTCAGAGAAATCTTGTTTTGATTTCCTAAACACCCTGGGATTATATTAAAACTCACTTATATAGTAATAGTCATTGGCTTCTAGCATTTTTCAGAACCAAAACATCTTTGGAACTTTGGGCCACCAAAGTTTCTATAGGATTTATTTCATTAAATTCTCTCCTTTCAACTTGTTTAAATCTTTTAAATGTGTCAAATACTCTTGCACACTTTTAAAATGGTTTCAAACTGCACTTCTTCAAGTTAACAACAAAACAAAGAATAAACGATACGCCGGTAAGACATGGGTCTATAAATGTACGGAAATGCAGTACATTATTACTCCTTGGATAACCATGTTGAACTGTAGATTTTGGTGCTGACTGAATAAACTATAACCACCACCAAAATGACGCCAGGTGCCTGTTTCACATTGTGACGACTTTCATTACTGTTGATATTAACATTACTAAAACACAATGGCTATTTCACTTAAAGATATTTTACAGGGAATGAATTTGTTGAGTTATTACATGCTGAGAATTCTATACTGTACCACATGTCTTGTTTGGAATAAGGGTATTATTATTGCTATTATTAGCATTGTGTAATGCAAAAGCAGTTCCATGGCACTTAACGAGTTATTACAACTTCTTGACTTTCAATCACACAACCAGCTGAAAGCCGTATTAGTAAGCTAAACAATGAGGAGATTAACATCGAGCTAATCTATAGAAATCCATGTGAGGAAGTGTATACTATTTAAGCACACACTGATTACTCTTTCGTTTCGACTGCGAACAGTGACTGACAAAGCAGTAAGGATAGGAAATCCCCTCGCAAAAGTTAGTAGATTTTTAGAAACTGCTCCAAATACAGCAATCAGTCGTGCTATATTCCAAGAATATACGTCAATTATACACACAAGAATTTAGTAAGGACGTTGAATTAAACACTTCCACTGCTCATCTACTAGTGTTAGACTAAACAGAATGCAGTTTCTTCAACTCTGAGCAGATGTGAAACAAAGAGATCATGACAGCAGTGTACCATTTTAAGTTGCTATGCCCCACTACAGTAAAGGAGGAAGTGTAGAGAAATAAAACAAAAAATAGACGAAAACGGAATGGACGAAAAACGAAATACATAGACAAAAAAACATTGGAAATATTGAAAATGTATGAATTTGTACCAATATAACTGATTATAGTTCACATCAAGAAATCCCAACCACCGATTTTTAACACGATCAGATACCCCTACTAGAAAACCTTCACTTTTATACTCAGAGCAAACTGGCAGTCAATGACCAGATAAACTAGCGCCACATGTTAATCTAAACAAGCATAACTTTCAGCCCAATTATGTACTAGATATAGCACACCGGGTAGATAGTTGGTAGGTATGCTAAGAACATGTCCTAAACACTTCAGCTAGGGTCCAAAACCCTACTTGCCGTGCTTACTCAGCATTCTGCTCATCTCAGCGTCGCTCATCCTGCGGTTCTCCGCACTGAACGATGTTACAAAGGAAAAACCCAGGTAGAGGGTGTCTGAAGTTATGCATATATTAAAATCTGTTGTAGGGTGACAATCTGATAAATGAATTTTGTGCTGAGATCGGCTTAGTTTTCTCATACCATACCTATCTATGCATCGAATTATGAAACTTAAAGAGTAACTGACGGTCGATTTCCAACAGTCTTAAAAAGTACCAGCTAGGAATTACAACCAAAACTGGTAAATATATGGAGAACATCAGTGGCTTCCCAGTAGATTCTATAATTCATCAATGAAAACTATGTGTAAAAAGATACATCCCTCTGTTACAGCCATGCAGAAAAGAACACGATTACCAAAGCCTCTCAGTTCATAAGCTATTTGACCACAGGTATTTTCGAAGGATTATTCTCTGCATGCTGGAAGCCCTGTATAGGCATGGCTGAAGTCATACAGAAAGCAGTTTTACCATTAAAAGTTATCAGCCTGCAGTGAATTATTCGACTATCGTATATGGCATGCAACAAGTGATGCCAAGTAAAACGAGATCAACTTGAGAAAAAACTTGAAACAGACCAGAAGAAAACATGGTAGCGACTTTCTGAGTTCATTATTAGTTACAGAATTCAAGTGAATTCTTGACTAATGCAATAGAAATGTTATTTGATAACCTTGAAAGCCATTCGTTCAAAAGATATGACAATGATGAAAATAAATCTACTCGATATTGCTAGTCAAATGATATTCTGAAAAATAGTTAAATTTTTGTTCGCACTTATAACTCTTTCTTGCATCATTTGGTTATCATTATCTATCTATCTATACCTTGTGCTTTTGTAGAAAATCTACTTCCAACTAACAAAAGATAAGTATCCGGAGGATTTTGTTTTTGAGTGATATCCTCCTTATGAAAAATAACTGCATAGAAATATAATCGCATTATAAGTTTCATGATTACACTCATTTCAGTGCATGTGGATAACAACTACGGACATGAATTCAATTTTGACAACGTAGAAATTCTGGACAGATGAAACGCGAAAAATATCAGAGAATTCCTAGAAGCTTGGCATTCAGGTCAGTCAGTAATCAATAGATGTATAGACATAGACTCAATCTATCAACCAGTGAGAAAAATAATAAACGACAGAAGGGTCAGAGGTCAAGCAGAGTAACAGCCAACAGGGAATTCTATACAGTTAATGACAAAAAAATCAAAGGAAACAACGAATTACAAGCCAGTTCGTCAGGGCAAGCTACTAAATCACTCACGGAGAGATATTGACAGCTCACTTTATACTGAAGCTAGTGCCGATGATGTCGTCTAGAAAGAGGATGATAGCTCCACGACTAAATAACCCAGATCAGAGAACACAATACAACTAGGACGAATCCCTTAGAAGTGATAAGTTGAAAATGACTGATTTAAAAATAATAATAAAAGGGTAGAAATTCAGTAATGCTTTGAATGACAGATCACAGGTGACTGACAATAATGAATGAGTCATGCATCAATAAGCACTTGATAACAACTATACAACTACCTAAAGATTGAATTTTTTTTTGAATTCTTCATGAATCTATTCTTGGCTATCACACTTCTTCATGTTAGGACGACAGCTAAGACAAAACAAGGTAACCGAGCCCAGTGAATGAATAAGCGGTTTCAATAAGGGTAAATGAAAATATTGTATAAAACGGTCTTGTAACAGAAAAGTGTGGAAATGCCTTGACCGACAGCTAAGTGTTTAACAGTAACTAGTCAATAATAAAAAAGAGTATAAATTATGATGAACATAACAATAAGTAAAGGATATGTAAAACACAAATAATTGCTGTTAAAATATACACTTTTGGACAAAAAAAATGAAAATTAAAACCATGCATACAGGTCTTTACAATACAGTTTTTTAGTAGAAGTTATAAATTATTACTAGTTATGCTTATCAAGAACGAGATATTCAGCGAAGAAACTCTTTCCAACGAATTTATTTTCAAGCTGTAAAATCGTATGCATATGATATTTGAAAAATCATATCCCATGAGGAAAACTCGACACTATATGATGATGATGATGATGACAATAATAATAGAGCGGATGATGACATAGGCATTTGTGATTATGATAACAATTGAAGTATGAATGATAACAAAGTAGATTGCTTAATATATGGAATGGTTCACAGAAAGTATATAACTCACAAGGGGGTGAAAAAATTGATGAAAGTGGTACATCAATTAAGTATTATGTAATAGGATTAAACAAGTTGGTCAAGATGAAATCAATGTTTTCTAAAAAGATTAAGACAATTAAGTGGAACTAATCAAAGTGAAGAGAATTATAATAGCAATAATAGTGATCAGGGAAGGATATAAAGGTTAACTTAACAAAGGGGGTGGGGGAAACTAATGGGGTGTGAATATGTTATGGCCATGATAAAAACAGTAACTGCACATACTTCTTTTGTACACACAGATCAGATTTTAGTTCATGAATATCTAAAGCCTCCGCTGTTTTAAGGAGTAGAAAACGTGGGAGGTTTGGACGAATTCGATAAATAATTTTAAAGTCGTTGTCTGAGTTTGTTGAGTGACGGAGATCAACCAAATGTTCTAGAATCGAACTTCTAACAGACTTTCTTTCACCTTTATAAAACCAAGCAGTAACATGTTCTCGTATACGTGTAGAAAGCATTCTCTAGCTACGGCCGATGTACGTTGCTCCACAAGAGCAGGTGAACTGGTAGATGAACCATTCCATATATTAAGCAATCTACTTTGTTATCATTCATACTTCAATTGTTATCATAATCACAAATGCCTATGTCATCATCCGCTCTACTATTATTGTCATCATCATCATCATCATCATCATCATCATCATCATCATCATCATCATCATCATCATCATCATATAGTGTCGAGTTTTCCTCATGGGATATGATTTTTCAAATATCATATACATACGATTTTACAACTTGAAAATAAATTCGTTGAAAAGAGTCTCTTCGCTGAATATCTTGTTTTTGATATTATTATTAAATTGTTTATGCATATGCCTGTAATTCTCCGTTGTTTTACTGGATCGAACTGTTCGACCTTTATTAGCATATGGGCTCCTATGCGGACGCCTTGATATCGCCTAAATGGTAATTTTATGGTAAAGTTATAAAAGTAACTGATAAGTAACACAAAAATATTTGAAGTTGTTTTTTATTTTACAGAGAGGCAAATAAACAAGGTAAAGTAGAATCTCATGGAATATAGCATTGCTTCACATCATCATACTTTGTAACATGGTGAAGATGAGGGAGAGAAAAACTGAATAAAAATGTAAGATAAGGTTCAAGAAATGAATAGTGAGTGAATATGAGCTATCTTGATAGATCTTGAATACTTTTTTCAACCGCTTATAATTATGTATTCAAAGTGCACAAACCAACAATTAGTTATTTACTTCTGCATCTAGCCTTCATGAATCTCCTATCCATTTATCTCTGCATTCGATAACAAGTCATATGAAAGTAGAGGAATCGTAGTATCTATAAGGTGTTCTGCATTTACAAACGCACTGACTGACATAACCTTCCTACGTTCACAATTCTATCCCAAACATTTTAACCGGCTACTCATTACACCTATCTTAGAACGAAAAATGTTTCAAAGACGCCCAAAGCACATTTTCCGAGAGAATCAACGACAACGATTCACATGGATGTTGCTTAGTACTATTTATGAGCAGAAATATGAGTGCTATAACTGATGTATGCTTAGATATAAAACAGGACTCCAAAAAAAGCAACTGCTTCCCTTTACAAGTGATCGTTAATAATTGAAATAAAAAGAGATGATTGCGGAGAACATTTTTTTCACTTTTCAAACAAATTATATAGTTCCATCATAAGGCAATTATCCAGGGTGATTGGTCCTGTGCGAAAGCCAAGGCAAAAAAGATTGCTCATACTTCTTTTAAACGTACAATGATGGTTTGAACTTTTGAATTGCTAGCATTTCAGCTATGCTCACAAATCTCAGCCTTACTCCTTTCGCGTAACTTGATAGCACTTTGTGCAAAAGTTTAGAGGATCTATCTAAAAAAGAGAAGCCTCCTGAGTTTATGAAGTATCATTTTACAGAACTGAAGATACAGTTCTGTTCTTATTTCGGCAGTTGAGTTGGGTAATTTTTGGAAGTGCGTTTTACAAGCTAGGGTATGGTAAGGTCGATATACTCGGTACCTTATAATGTGGCTATATGTTATTTCGTAATTATTGGTTTATTTCCCTATTTTAAATACTTGTATATATATATTACACAAATTTCCTTCGCCATGCAGTTTATCTTGACTTTTGCCCAGAAATTATTCTGGAGTGTTCTACCGTTCCTATTAAGTGTTTAGGAATGGTTTCGTTGGAAGTAAAGCTTTTTTGCTGCAATCGTTTTCTCTCTTTTCCTATGATTAAATGGGTTTGTAAGAATGTTTGAAATAAATCAGTGAAAATAGTCTCTAGAAGAAAAGATGGTGAAAGATTCGACTGAAAAAAACGTAGTTTGCGATAAATTTGAGTCATCAGTTTTTCATCTCTCTGAAGAATACGTCACTGTAGAATAATTCGGTAGGCTGAGTGATTCTAGGAAACATTTTATTCCATACCGGTTTTTTTTAGGTTCATATAAATAAAAATGTACATTAGATATACAAAACGCTTATTTGTCATAATAGAAGTCTCTTAGCAACTACACAGGACGAACCAACAAAAATTATCGGTGAAACAATTGCCAGGACATTTGCACCACATACTAAGTGACCAACTACACAAGCATAAACAGGTTAAACTCAACAAGGTAGAAGCAGGAAACGATTAATTGTGGTTACAACAATTTTTTCGAAATAAATATAAACATGAATAGTTGTCAGAAACAGAAAAATAAGGTTTCTTCAAAGTTTAGTGGAATTAAAATAACATAGCACTTGGGTACGGCCATGGCATGTAATTTCGTCTCAGATTAGTTTGTTTGATATAACACACAGTGACACGATATAATATATATCGTCTTTTCTAGGACGATAATCTTTTGGTAGACAATTAGTAGTCCTTCAAAAATTAGTTTCAGAAGTTTTGTGGTTGCCTTGATATGGTTATGAGCAATAGATTGCGTCTTAAATATCAACCAGTAAATAACACCGTTTCACTACACGATATATTCCTATCTGTTCTGAAATCATTTGTGCACAGTTAAATCACAGCGACATATCAGCCATTAGACATTCTGTAAACACTAAGTAATAGATCATGTTGAACAAAATATATGGTGCAATGAAGAAAACAACGGAAGTACAACAGATTAAAAACTGTCATCACCCTTCGAAATATATATATATATATATATATATATATATATATATATATATATATATATATATATATATATATATATACATTGGTAATTCGACTCACCATTGATCACAGGATGTGCTGGTAATAAGAAAGTCATTTTCTGTTTCATGTTTGCAGGAAGTGGATCTATTGGAGGCAGAAGGAAATGATCTCGGTTCAAGAAAACAATGTAGGCTGTATCATTGCGACGATTGACGACACTGAATAAATTTTCAAATGCTCGAACAGCAGGATGAATGTATGGCTTTAAATAGAAATAAAAATACCTCTTATGTTTGAAAGAAGGGGTATAGAGTTAAAGGTATTTTATTGTATAGACAGTACAGCTTTAACTGAACATTTTTATCTGCGTATTGCAGAAATACTGTTTGTTGGGTTTAGACAATAGATTCTGACATTTCAGGTAATAAAGTCTTAAATTAACTTCATCCATAGAGGATTTGGGCTGGGGAGTCGTGGATCCAGGTCCAAAAGACTGCAGAGAACAGAGTGCAATGGAGACATGCTACTGCAGCCCTATGTTCCACCAGAAACCCAAGGAACAAATAACAGTATGGAGGATTCGGCGATAGGACAATACTACCAGCCTTCATACTATATGCATGAATAGTAGTTTGGGACTAGAACTTGCAAAGAGTTTCGGCATTACTTTTATGAATCGAAGTGATTAGTAAAAAACTTTTGAAATGTACTATTTATAGATTTTACTGTTATAAATGTAGGGTTGGGATAGGGAGGTCAATAGTACAGTAGTCATATTCACGGATCAACACCATACATAAGAAAAACTAACTCGTAACTGCTAAATTCAGTCCTAAAGTTACAATCCCCAAAATTCCTTGTTGTTAATAATAATATGTTTCTGTTATGATGTATGGCTTTCGATTTCATACACATAAAAAGCATTGAAACTAAGGCAGGGGTTGTCTGTACATGTTTAAACACTGTTTGTCCGAAAAAATTCATAAAACCAAGGAAAATAATCCTAGTTAGGAAGTACTTCGACTAAAACTGTGGTCTACAGAACTCAGTTCATCAAACGACCCAGAACAATCAACCTTTCCTACACAATCCTGTTTTAGTAGCAGTAGCATCCCACATGTAAACTATACAGGGCTGTCCAGCTGTTTCATTCTCATTGTTAATATTTTAGCAATTTTGTTGTACAATAAATACTACTGAAAATCTTCAGAAACAACAACCAGAAATAAACATAACACTGAGAAAGTTTTGACTATCACTAGGAAATCAAATTAATTTCTTGTCACACTGAGACTAACTTTTTTAGAGAAAAACTATGTCGAAGAAAATAGGTACCATGGTTACATTTTATTTACAAAGACTCAAAGAAAACAATGGCATCTCTGTATTACTATACCACGCCCTAAAATATACTTTTTCAAATATAAGATATGAAGTCTATTCTGTTAAGTTGGTCCAAAACTAGGGGGCACCAAGTTTCCAAAATAAGACCTATGCTGCTTGGATGATTGTAGAAAAACAACATGTAGATATGAGACCAAAAATTGCAATAGTTTAATTTGGCCAGTCGACTAAATGTAATAAATGAGGAAAAAGCCTAGCAGTACCGCATGATATAACAACGCAAAGTAAAACCATAATTAAACAATTTAACAAAAGAAGATAACAAGACTTTTGACTTTTACTGAACTATTCACATAAAATATTTCTTTACTGTTGCCATTTTGGTCTATCAGTTATTAATACCTGGAAAAACTGATCAAGAAAGCCTTAACCTTGTGACTAGATCAAGCGAAATGAATAACTCCATAAAGTAGTGCTTTTCCTGGCATCTGATTATCGTGGGGGTCCATTTACCTTATTTTATGCTAGTCAACAAACAAGACTTAAATGCAATCGAGTTATTATCTACTGTCTGCAAATCGAAAATCATGAAGCTGTCCGTGTACTAAAATGCTGTGGGAAAGATATTCAGGAAATATGACATGTGTAGTAGTGATGGACAGTGGCTAGGAGAGGAATCCCTACACGACTCAGACCAACAGTCGGAGGCTTTATGTACAGGTCCACGTCTTGTCTGGTCACCCTGAGCCTTCTTCCAAAGTAATTCAACTTCTGCTAGCATTGTGTAGCAATCAGCTTGTCATATATTGTATACATTCGTCAACTTTTGAGCTGATTTTTAAATTCGAGACATACTGCTAACTGCTCACGAAATACAGTCTTGAAACATCCATTCTCCAGAATAGCAGAGAAAGGTTCTTATGCTGCGCATATTCAAGCGAAGATAAACGTTTACTGGGAATAACACAGTATCGAAGATATAGTATGTGCTAAGGGTATGAAAGTCCTTTTCATTATTGGTCAGTAGTAGTATACTCCACTCGTTTTGTTGCTTCACGTTTAATCTATTACCAACTCAGAGCTCGCAACGCAATCAAGAAAACCAATTATTCTTTGCTAAAAGTAAGTTACACCTCTAAAATACACACCATGCTTTAAGTGGAAACAATACATTAAAATCACAAAACTCTGTATAATTTCCATAAAAAAGAGTAGTCTTATTCCGGAATAAACAAAATTAAGACATGAAACATACGAACAAGCTGAGTAGTTTATCAGAAGGCTATTGAATGTACATGAATAGTTATACTCCTTGAACTATATATACTGTTAAACAACACTTCAAGTGTAAATGATAGGTACATACATAATTAGAGAAAACAAAGTCCGTAAACTTAGAGAATAATAAACAAAAGAGCGTTGAGATGCGCACAAAACTACACTAACGCTGAATACTTGTATTCCGGTAAAGATAGAGATCATCAATACAGTAGACTAAAGATGTGAAAATAAGGTCATCATTAAAGAAATTATCCAAAACAAAAGTTTGTTCACTAAGGTTGAAAGTATCCTGCAGAATCGTGAACAGTTGTATATGTAGACAGAAAAACATTCATCGAGGTAGTAGAATTACAATAATTATCATCAAAGTAACAGTGACAATGTGTTTTCATATTGATTTTACCGATTCAATAATATGCAGCATTTTATGTTGATACTTTATTTGAGAAATAATGACTGAACAAGGATTCAATATATTTCCATTTTTATCTAACCTTGTTAGAAATAACTTTAAAATCTGTAACCGTAAACATAGTTACGGAGGGATGATAGCTGATGAAATATGTGCACCTGAGTTGAATTATAAAATTGTATTCGTCACCCATAGACTGAAAGAAGGACTCACTTGATGATAGAGTCACGCGTATGCCGTACTTGTTTCACATTTCAACATAAACACATTGTTATCACCAGATATCGGTTTAGTGTGCCATAATTAGCACACATACGAACATATACACATCGATGAAGGAGTTGGCAAAAGGATAGACAAACAACTGAATACAGTATCAACATCCTCACAATTGTATAGGATAAAAAGGAGAGAATAAAGATTGATAATCAGGCCAACCGCCGTGCTACGTTCATTTAGTACTTTACATCTCACTCTTGGTTACGTAACTGAAGTTTTCCTCACATCAACAATTCTTAACGGATATGTTTCACAGCCATCTAGTAGAATACACTGCATTTGCTGACAATCGCACTTGACCGCTGACAAGTATTCTGATACTGTGCAGATGCTATAAGTTACGTAAGTTGATGAAGGCCAAGTAAGCTGTTTGTATCTATGCTGACACTTTATTGCTTAAAGAACAGCCAGGAGCGACGCAGACTAGTTTTGAAGAAATATCCTAAATTATTTTAGAATTGTCATTCGTAGTTCACAAAGTTTCTTTTCCTTCTGTCAGCATCGCCTAACAGAACTATGTCGTGTGCACTACATTTAGATCACGGAATATCCGAATTCGAAAGAAAGTGCGACCTTAATAGTTATGTAGCAAATAGTTTAAATAGAAAACGTGAGTAATTTTGGAGAATATCAATAGAGGTAGTCATCAATGAAAACAGATCATTTCTAGCTCCAACACAGGCAACTCAATGCAGTAAAAATTTACGTATTAGTTTATGAGCCAAACTTGTTATGTGAATGCCTTAAGATACTATCCGATTACCCAGGTAAAAGTAAGCAGAAAGGAGTTCGAACTCAGGAATCATAGCTTGGAAGTAAAGTTCCTGCTCCAATGAGGTAAATTTTCATTGTTCGATTAAAGAGTCTCCAATGAAGTGACATGCTTTGCAGTTACAATGAATTGTTATGCAGCTTTCGAATAAAGAAATATAATAGTAAATGATGTGATTCAGAAACTCCCGACCTATAGCAGTAGAGGGAACAGTTTGACGAATATAGTGTATCAGATTCTATGGTCCACAATCACTCTACATTTAGGTGAAGCTACGGATCAGAAAAATCAAGAAAACAGGCAAGTATCATACATGGCCGTGGGCGTGTCAGCCAGGTTTTAAAGTACAGACACACCAACACTCAACAGTAGCTGTACTTCTCGACCTGAAGGCAGCATTCGACTCTGCTGGTAGAAAGGTTCCGCACTGAAAAAAAGCTATAGGGTAAGCACATCTCTGTGCTGAAGACTCTGTATTCGAAAACTAGTAGGCACATTAGGACCGATGGTGAGGTAACCGGTGAGCTACATACTTCAAGCGGTTTGTCAAGAATATCTACTCTCTCAATTTCTATTTAATTTCCTAACAGATGTGTTTGCGTCTCCTATTCTCCTTTTCGAACTTAAAAGGGATTGGCTTCGTCCCAGGAAGCTGCCAGGTGAAGACCCTGACAAAATGCAGAGTCTTCTAGACACCCTGAGTAATAATTCGAAAGTATTTGAGGTGTTTCCCACCACTCAAATGTAAATTGTTGCTGAAGGACTGGTCCACATTGGTGCTCCATCTAACAATGAGGGTTGAAGCAGCTGAATGCGTTAACCATTCCTCATATTTGAGAAGCCGTAGTGGTTCATTGACCGACAAATCTCTACAGAGATAAAAGGCTCGATTGGTTTTCACCAACTTACGCCATCTGTAGTGCCACCATGATGCCTGATTGTCTATTAAGGGGCCAGTGTACTGCGCTGCAGTTCCCTAAGTCCTCCTGAATAACTGAGAAGCATGGTCAATGAAGGTAGAGAATGTCAGAAGGCTTGACGTATTTGACCACTTGTACCATAGACTGTCATTACTATGACAGACAGAAGAGGAAAGTCACCTGATGAGGTTGTGAACCTTCTTCAACTCAGATGGCTGGGACATATGTTACACATGCCCAGCCATCGTCTACCATGTCACGAAATATTAGCTGAAGTAGGTTTAGGGAAGAGAGGGGTTAAAGGCGACTAGACTAAAACATGGCATTAGTTCATGAAGTCTCTGACTAGAAGTTTGGATCTTGTAGGGGAATATAAACTTCATGCTCGGGGTTCACGTGCAAACAGAAACCAGTGGTTGGAGAAACTAGGTGATATGGCTCAGAATTGATCTTTATGGTACAGATACATCGGCATATTATCATAATATAAATCGCATTATCCAATTTCGTGATTTCTTCGACCCCTTTTTCTCTCTTTATGACGCTTTACTGCTTCTGATAACTTTAAAATTCGTTTTTACTGAGCACTGGTTGAAGTGCCAGTGAACCAGTTACGTACAGGGTGTCTTTTAGACTGAAATGGTGGAATATATTTGTAGCTGTGGTGGATGATCTTGGTTGTTTTCTCTAAGCTGAGTGTTTTTTAATTGGGGAGCTTTTGTAGTCTTTCTAGACAGCAGCATCAGCAATAACTCCAGTAAAATAATGGTAGTAATAAGAACAATATAATGTGAATATTTAGTTGATATACCCAGGATAAAGTCTAAATTAATCGCAACCTTTCTATTTCGAAGGTACACACGAAAATTGAGTGGATATTCTTAAAACTGATCGAGCTTATTTTTCTGTTAGTGTAAGCGTAGAACTTTAGTATTGTAGTAGAATGTTATTCCATATTCAATCAATTCATTTGCCATAGAATAAAATGACAATAAAGTAATACTGTATCACTGCACTATATCAAATAAACTAATCTGAAAATTTCTCTCTTGCCATGGAGAGATTTATTTCATCTTTTGTAGACTGAAATAATGAGAATTAGTAATACACGCACATAAAAGGGCAAGGCGATTTTGCATAGGTTGTTCGTAAAATATGTGTGATATGCAGAAATGAGTGCAGAACAGGCGATTTCAGCTTTCGGCACCTATTTTCCCGGTACATTCATCAAACAGAAAAAATAAGAGCACTGAAAGGATTAAATAAGTTTAAGATGTAGGTTACTTTACACTACTTTTATACAAAAAAAGAAGCATGCTTTTACTACTTAGTTAAACAAGTAGTTGCGAAATACCCAGTGTTAAACACAAACTTTATGGTGCTAAGAAAATATGTTAGTTTTTCACTCGTGAAATCAACAAAGCATGTTTAAACTAATGTGATTGTGCAATAACAAGGTAATATAAACATTAGAAAGACTAGATGTTTGAAACAGCGCAACAAAATCAGATCAAAACATCAAACCTGTAAAACACGTTATGAAAAAATAATTTGATAAAACGTCGAAGAAACAGTTACTTATTTAACAAAAGTAACACATTTACCCACTACCTACATCAGCCATTTTGCCATTATCCTAAACGATTTAAGATGGAAATTCAAAAGGTTTTCATATGTGCAAGGAAGCAAAAAAATACAATTAACTCGACAAAAAATTGTCGCTTGTGAATGAACAACAGGTGAAAGTTACTCACCAAAGTATGCAATGATCGTCTAGTTTACGAAATCATATCATCGACACTAAGTTTGAAATTCCGTTTTATCATAAGTTATCTCTTACTTAGCATGCCTGTAGTATAACTGAAGAAATTATTACTTTGAAAACGTTTGGTACAGTAATCTGCTGACCGTAGTTATTGAGCCCGGATAAAGTCTCTGCAATCAATCATACATTCATTAAGTATAGTTCTTAAAGGTGTTTATTGATGCACACGAATTTCGCAGTCATCTGTATTTGTAAATAGATTACTCTAATAAATTTTTTACTTCTCATTACCTTTGAAAACGTTTCCCCGAATATGTCCGATTAGATTTCAGCTTACGTCCGAAGTGGTTGGTAGTCATGAAGTTCGGCCACTGAGTAACCTCCTTATCTCATCTACATCCTTATAATTAGTCGTTAGTTTCCGTAAAAGAGTATAAAGATAAAACAGTTTGGTGGTCAACAGTACTAACCATCACCACAATATAAAAATGGTAGGTTTTGGGATATTCAGACCCCTTACCAAGCAGTTTTTACTAAACAAAGTCAAACAACTGAAGACGATTGAGGGTAAGTATTCACAATCAACTAGGATCATCTTTTCATATTTATTTGTTCATGAGCCCTAAAAATATTAGTGGTTTCGTCTATTCCTTTGTGTTAAACTTTTCCTTCGTGCCAGTGATGTACGACTCTTAAAAACTAAAGCTAGTGAGAAGCGACGTATTTCTCCGACAACGCTGAGACATACAAGTAAATAAAAAACAGGTGACAACACAGCTGTACTCTGGTTTAATACGTCAACCTTACATAATAGAAAAGAATTAACTAGACGAGATAAGGGAATGAAAATAATAATAATGATGACAATAGTAGTAGTAATAATAATAGTAGCGATAAAGAGAAAGAATAAAATTAGGAAAGTGTTACGTTGAGGAATGAAATATATAGCGCGATAAGATGTTTTGTACCTAGAGTGATATGAGTCGTAAAGATACTTGCATCATATAGATCGAAGTATCTAAACACTGAGAACTTTGGTTGCAGAATAAACCTTCCCACGGAAAGTTTCTCACCTACACTGGCCAACTTCAACATATTAGTTTCACAACAACCTTATAGTCTACTTGGTAGTGGCCGGAAGTCAAATCCAGGATGTACGTTTCATTTTACTTCGAACTCACCAGCTCCATGTAACTGCACTTCATCTGGTGGTGGTGTTCTCACTGAAACTCGAACCCCACACCTATTGCTTCAAACACCAAAGAGAGAGACGAGAACACACAGACAGATAAAGCACTGTAGAACCTAGCACACAAGTGCACCTCAAGCTACCACACTTCACAGTAGTATACAAAGAACAAGTGGATGGGAAAAGACTGATATCAGAGTAGAAAATGTAGTGTAAAGGAAAAACAATCTGATGATAAGAGTAAGTGTGAATATCCAAGCTTTAGAAGACGCTAAGGAGTGAATACATTTGCAACACTGCGACCGATTTTCAGCCATGTCATCAAGAGTCATCAACCACTGATTCTTTTTGTCTGCGGTACCTCAACCAGGTAGTCTACAATACTCCAAACGGTTCAAACCGACAGTCAAGGACTTTGTGGACTGGTTCCACGTTTTCATATGGTCACCATGAACTCTCTTCCAACATAATCTAGCTTCCCCCAGTATGGCACTTCAAGGTAGGCAGTGGCTCGGCATGCGCAGTACATGATTCAATCCAGTCCAGTCGAATAAAGTTCACAACCTCATCAGTTAACCTGCCTATCTTGCTCAGTACCGTTCGTTCAACCTTAACATTCCTCACATGGAGATTCCACCATACGCGAGCAATGCTACGAAGATACCTTTGATCAAGTACCTGTAGCCACTTCATGTCTTCTACTTTTAACCACCATGTCTCATAGCCGTAGAACAGGACAGAATGGAATGCAGTGCAGTATACTAGTCCTTTGATAGATAGCTGGATCGCTCGTCATTCAGCGCCAGAGATGACGTAAGTCGGCTGTTCTCGAACACTAGTAAGGCGTCGGATAACTATGGACCCTAGAATCTCGGACACAATATTAGTCAAACAAATTCCCATATGGTTGTCACGAGAAGACTTCTCTCTTCTTATAGATTGGGATGATCAGAAAAGTACACTAGTCTGATGGGACTACCTTTGATTCCTATACAATACGTAGTACATCCGTTACTTCAATCAGCAATTTCCTACCTTCATCCTTGAAAACTTCAAGCGGTAAACTGCCAGGTACTGCTGCTTTCCATTGTTTCAGGCTAGAAACAGCTTTCTCAATTTCAAGGAGAGTCGTAGGACCGATATCTACCTCCCATTTCGGTTCAGGTTTGATGTTAGGTAACTGAAGCGTTGCTGAGGGCCAGCTCAACTGTGCTTTTAAGTGTTCTGCCCAAGGTTTTAGCCACCTGTCATCGAAGGTGATAGTCTCACTCACGTTGTCTTCTTCTTACTGGCAACCTTGACAAGTCCTAACCCTGATGACTCCTCCATCTCTCGAATTGGTCAATTTGTGCTGTCCATCTGACGAGTCTTAAATAAGACAAAACGGGCATCCTGGAGTCCACTACTAGCCACCACCAAGTCCATCCATATAGATCAACCTAGGACCAGGCATTACTGCGTAGCGGTCCGAGTTGCCACACCTCATATCACTACATCAAGTAAAAAGGCAGTGAGGCGCAAGATGAAGAGAAGAGAATGCAGTCAAAAGAAATATAAAGTACGAAAAGAGAGAAACGAGGAATGAGGAAGTGGTGAGATTCGGTATAGCGTCGTTAAGATGAGGATAATGTACGTATACATCTGCGCCACTGACATCGGTTCTGAGCCATGTCACCTAGAGTCTCCAACCACTGATTCCTCTTGTCCCCACCACCAAGTAAATTATGACAACATGAATATCCAGGCAATATCTAGGAATCCGCATAGTAGCCTATATGCCAACAGACGTCAATCAATCTGATCCAGTATAGCGGCAGCTACAAGTATCAATGAACGGGATTTAATGGGGAAAAAGGACCACTAAGTGTCGTAGAAAGGTTTATCATTAGTAGTGATGGTAAAATAAAGGAAACTTGCCAAAAAGGAATATATAAATCTTAATAAACATAATATCCTCATACAGTCTATTGAAAGACAAAAACCAGTAGAAAACACTTGCAGCTCAATACTGTACCTGTAAATCATACTTGCGCACAAAGGGACTACGGTGAGATGAAGCAAATTTGGGCGGTAGTGAATGGGCTGTAATATTTAGAATACGACGATCAACTCCATTCGCTGATAAACGCTGCCTTGTCCCTCCTCCCACAGATGGAAGTAATTTCTTAGGTGAGTCGTGATGTTGGATAGGGAGGGAAATTGGTTTTTGTTCACGTAGTGTATTTTGAGACAGGGGTTTAGAAGGATTAAATATAGTTTGTTGATGTGCAAACGCTTTAAGGTTATGAATCGATGAAGTGAGCAATAGTCTGTATACCCGAGACTGATTACTAGTGGATACAGCATGTCTTTCAATCCAACCCTGAAAAGAAAAAAAGCAGCACTTAAATTACATTTCCAATGAGGCTTTGAGAAAACAGTAAAATCAACGTTACCAATATTGTGAAGACCAGGATCGCTGTTATCTTAAAATATATATATTGAGTGACAGTGTCGAATATCATATATTGGAATGGGATCAAAGGATGTCTGGAACCTTCAAAAGTGAGTTCAGTTGACAATCCGACACGGCAAAGTTGTCAGGGTGGTGGACGTTTATTTTGCTTCAGTATTAAGGAAAACTAAAAAGATTGAAGAATAAGCCTGGAAATTAAAACATCAGCACCGAATCTGCACCAAGTAGCCATGGATACAGCCAACTATATCAGCCAAATGGTAGTTTTGATAATAAATAAAATAATGTACTAGACAGAAAATATCAATCAAAATAAGGAGGGGAATTTCAAAAATGTAAACGAAATTGCCAAGATATGTCGAGAAGGTATAGAACGCACTTGTCTAGAGAATCTCCTAACAACAAATATGGGTCGTCGAAATCACCAAAAAGTATGGTTAGAGTAGATTACAGTGGTAAAGATAAACTAACGCCTCTTGACTTAAAATAATAAACGCTTTGTTAGAGTTTGCGCTCTGAACCTTCATCTTTTCTAGTGCTTTCTCCATATTATTCCGTTTCTGTTACTTTGATCAATTCTGATTTGCTATGTGATTCAGGAGTATGAAAGCCTAAGCCAAAGCAACGCTAGTAAATTTTCGGTTAATTTCAGTGGTACGAATTTCAAAATATTCTTCTATATCCACTGTGAATAACAAGTAGAAACGAAATTATTGCAAGGGCATGCATAAACCAATGTTGGACTGACATTAAATCACACTATCACATCAAACAGAATAACTAACTTGTAAAATTTGTCTAACATCTGCGATTGAAGAGTTTTCAGAGCAACTTATGTTTTTATTTGGACCGCAGTTATTAGAAGAATGTCCGATTGCAGCTGCTTCAGATGTTATAAAGTTATCATTCGGAGAAGCCTGGATTAACTCATCGTCCACCAAAATATCACCTTGTGTGGGCTTGATATCAATTGATAGACGTCGTCCAGTTAGTGGATGATGCATTGATGACCATGAATTTGTTTTTCCAAATGCTGAATGGTCAAAATAACAAGTTACTTTAGAAAACTATAAACAAACATCCGATGCAAACTAAAACTAAAAATACTATTCTACTTATCGAAGCAGTTCGAAAAGCTCGGAAGGTGTGCATAGAGTTCTAAATGAATAGTAACACCGCATAGATATAAATAATACACGCATAAATGCCCGATTTACAATCGACGATACGTTGGTAGCTTAAGTGATGTGTTACGAATGTTACAAAAACACTTTTGTGCTGGATGTCCATTCCAACGAGTATCTTTGAGTGATGAGAACCACTACTTAACAAAGTCATTTCATATGTTATTGCAACGAGTATGGATGGGTTTAAATATTAATAGTAGGTCTTTGACTGTACGTACGCATACAGTGACAAGTTGTAAACGTTGGTATTTTAACTTTTCATAGTTTAACCTAAAAATTATTTCAGAACAAGCGACATTTACCACTTATTAAAAGAAACCGCTTGGAAATATAATAAGGCTATTAGGCAAACAATGTATGAAAAGTTTATGATACTATCCAGTTATTCAGGAAAAAATAAGAAGTGAGGCTTCAACTTAAGAACTATTCCTAGAAAGTCGAGTGTATAAGACAATGAGAGAAATCCCCACTTAGAAAACAAAACTTTTAAATAAAGATAATGCGACGACGTCTTATATAATCCTTGAATTTCCACTCAAATTCCATAGTTCACTGTAAACTTATTTGCAATTTAGAAATTAATCGCTTCTGTAGGATAAAGTTTTAGAGTTACAAATGTAAACTGAAATACACCACAACATTATCATAATGTCAATTATAACACGCTCCATTCATCACGAGAAGTAACATCTACATATTTCAAGCGTGGAAAATCTCCATTGTTTTGTTGTTGCAGTGGGCGTTGCTGATAAAAATGAATATAATTAGTATATGTTGAGAGGAGGGCAGAAATCATAGGGAATTACCAGCAATGGGGAAGAATTCTGCTCAGAGAAAAGTAAGAGTCAACGTGGGCATATTAAGAGCAAATCAAGAGAGAAGCAGAAGAGGAAATGAAGAACATTATGCAAATGACTATCTTAGTGCAAGGTGTACCATATTTAACGACTAATGTACCACATGTTAATAACAAACATTCCTTCCTTGGTTTCTGTCTTCTCGTTTCCATCATTATTTTCTAACACTGTATAAAGTCATCTTAAGTATAAAAGCCAATAAATATATCTAGAGGCTTTCACTTTCGTCTGACTTGAGATTCCATCCAGTCATAAAAATGATTTAATAGAGTTCCACGAAGAACTAAGTTTTTTTTTCAATGGCCAATGAAGATGGATGAATTATCTAAGTTACAAAATGGTTGCTAGTTAGAAAAGCAAACCTAAGAGATTATCAGAAACTCTCTTAATTGCACATTCGAAGATAGTTTTTCATATTATATGGTGAATTGAATTTTTTACCGGTTCGATACACTACATTATCTATTCTTACTAAATAGAATTCAGCTAACAAGCAAAAAAACACTCCACCACAATGTGTTATCGTGATGAATATTTCAAACGTTTTCTTTACGAGGCAGGCATAAGACTCAGCACAATCATCAAGGATTTACACAAACACACTCAGACACTATTGAAAGGAAACTTATGATTTGGTGATATGTTAGAGTATAAAAAGAATCAAGGTGTATTCCATGACTTTTGATTAGTGGACCTAATCAAGTGAATGATCTGCGAAACAATATGGTATACAAATTTACCGAATCCACAGGTAAGGTTTCAACAAAAGAAATTACCGATTTTTTGAGAGCCAACTTGATCGCCGCTAGGGAGCATACCAATTGACGACAATGCAGGAAGGATATTATAGCCAATAGTCGATTCTGAGAAAGAAAGAATATTTAATGTAAACAGACCAAATATAGCCAGAAGACTTGTAGTTGCAATCACTTTTGAACGTTGAGTAACAGTAGAACCAAATCTGCGAGGAGTAAGTAAAGTTCTAGTGACTGAAGATCTAGGAACTGAAGACTGGTGTAGGGATAATTGAGAATGCGATTCAACATCAACTTTATTCGATAACAGCCTTTTAGAAGAGCTATCCCATTTGAACGTTTTAGAGGAATTCATAGAAATAGGAAAAGCTGAAACAAAATTTCACAAAACAGGCAGCGAATTCATTTACGAACAGAATGCGATAAACAAATGTTTGTAAATAGACTTTAAAGGTAAATAATAACTAATAATCTTGCTATTTTTAGATGTTCACACCAGAATATACGAATAAACCAGTTTCTGAAAAAAATATTATACCTGTCAATTATTGATAGCAAATGTTACGTCAGGTACTTCGACTTAATTAGGTTGTAAGCAGCTGAGGATAATCTTACGAAATAAAATGATGTCATCTTAGCTTGCCCTCCGACAACAGTAGAAGTCCTGAACGCCATAAAGTCGCAGAAATCCGGAAAAGCAGCAGGAGCAGATGGAATTCCTCAAGAAGCACTGAAAACAGATGCAGAGACAAAAGCGGACATGCTCACAATACGATTGCAGGGTTGGAAGGAAGGAAGGAAAGGTGCCTGTCGAGTGGAAGAAGGGCTGCCTTGTCAAACTCACAAAGAAGGGAGACCTAAGTCTTTGCAAGAACTGGCCTGGAATCATGCTCCTGTCCAACCCCAAGCAAAATATTAAGCCCCATCATACTGGAGAGACTAAGGGATGCGCTGGATTCAAAATTACGACTGGAACAGGTTGGCTGGCTTCAGAAAGAACAAATCATGTGGGGATCAAATTGCAACGCTACGCTACGAATCATCATAGAACAGAGTGTGGAGTGGTAGTTAACTCTCTACCTCAACTTCATCGACTTTGAAAAGGCCTTCAACAGCGTCGACCGAGAAGTAATTTGGCAGCTGCTTCAACACTGAGGAGTACCACAGACCTATATAAACCTCATTCACTAACTATATGACGATGCCATATCCCAGGTGATTCACAATGGAAAGCTCAGTGACGCATTTGAAGTGAAGACGGGAGTAAGACAAGGCTGCCTACTACCACCGATGATCTTCCTGATTGTGATCGACTGGACTGGATTATGCAACAAACTGTGACGGGCGAGAAGAGGGGCATACTTTGGTTGGACCGATGAAAAGACTCTAGAAGATTTGGATTTCACCGATGATGATTTATGTCCCATGTGTTGTCGCACAAACTCGAAGATCTACAGGCAAAAACCGACAAGTTGGTAGAAGAGGCGAGGCAGCGAAGACGGGACTTCAAGTGAATGTAGAGAAGACAGAGGTGATGAACATACCCAACCAACAACAACAACTAATCACAACAAGCACCAATCACCATCAACGGGAGAAACCTCAAGGAAGTAGTCTCTTCCACCTACCTAGTCAAGGTAGCATCGTTTAAAATACAGATGACACAGATGAAGGCGTCAGAGCCAGGATCGGAAAAGACAGAGCTTCATTGACCTGAAACCAGTGTGGAGATCTACTGCACCGCACTCACCATAAAGCGTGAACAAGATCCGGATTTTCAACACTAATTCAGTCAGGTCAGCGCTTTATATGGTTCAGAAACTTGGCACATCACGAAAAGCACTTCCAACAAACTACAGACATCCATCAACAACTGCCACCTACGCTCGATACTGACACTGAAGACCGGATGGATGGCCAGAAAGAATAGGCTACAAGGAACTCACTCTGGTCTGGCAACGAACCAACCAAGAACCCATCGCCCAACAAATAGGCAGAAGAAAGTGGAGATGGATCGGGCATACACTGAGAAGACCAATTGGCGACATCACGCCCTAGGGTCCTCGAGTAGAACCCAGATGGAAAACGATGAGTTGGGCATCTGAGGAGATCGTGTGAGGAAGAAATGAAAGCTTCTGGGCATTTATGGAGCCACGTTCAAAAGACTTCAGAAAACAGAGTGCAATGGAAACATGCTACTGAAGCCCTATGTTCCAGTAGGAACCCAAGGGACAAATAATAATAATTATAATAATAATCTTACCGTGTAAATGGTTTTCCTGTCACACTAACTTCATCACGGAAAGTCATTATAGGATACTTTAATCTACCTTCATTCCGTGCACATACGGTATATCCAGTGCCATTTTAGCTCTTATTCTTCGTAATTCGAGGGATCGTAATGAAAGGAATATCAGGATACAGTTTGAATCCCAACATGTGTTTAAATCTTTTTAGTGTGGAAATCTTGTTGTTTGGTAAAATAAATTAACGACACTAGGCAGGAAAATTCTTGCTATAAAGTGGGGAATTATCGTCTACTACAGGACTGTCATAAATATGGGAATGATAAGACCTAAAAACTGAAGTTGTTGCCAACCAATGATAGTACAAAACATATGATTACTAACAAATAAAATACTTCTTTCATGTTTCAATTCAAGATTTCCCTTCATCAACACTTTCATGAGAAAATAATACATAATATTGTGTTATTTCGTCGATAGTAAACTGAAAACGATTTCGTGAATATCGCAACTTTGTGTAACAACCTTTAGTATGTAAACGAGCATTCCAACACCAGTACACATATCCTGTGCTGATACATTTTGTACATTTTTAAGACACTTTTCATGTTCACATAACCACATGATCCTAGTTCATCTCGTCAAACGTAGCTGTTTCAAAATGACATCTTGCAAGCATCAATTATCTGAGGTGAGTTGAACCGATGCTTTCATTATGCAGACAAATCCAATGATATTTTTCGTTATTTGCTTCTTTCTAAACTTTCACACTCTAGCCCCAGGAATATTACAGTCCTAAAAATTGAACGCTTGGGTAAGTTGGAATGCTATGCAGATTTTAATGGTATCTGTGTAAATGAAAGGTAACATTCAAAACTACAAACAGTGCTTACCGGCCTTAGAGTTTACATTTTTATCTTGAGAATTTTTCCAATTTTGAATTGAAATTGTTTTGCTTCTACCTGATTCAAAGAAACTGGATGGGTGGGTTATTACAGAAGTATTTGATTTGAGACCAATTTTTACTTCACTTTGTGGTGTTATCGCATGCACAGACACAGTCTTATTAGAAATCGTGGGAGTGACTCCATTGTTAGACTGTAAATGAGTAGGAATTTTAATTGCACCTAGCTCAACTGGACGACACTTAGAATTCGTTATTTCTGAATTCGTAGGGCTGGGAAACCGCGACTGAAGATCTTCAATACAACGTTCTAACTGTGAACACCTCATGCGCCACTCTTCATTCTGGCGCCAAAGAGCAAGGTTTTCACGTTTCAGCTGTTCAAACTTCATTTCCAACCTTTCTAAGTACTGAAATAGGAGAATCAATAAGCACACATAACCGGACTAGATTTATGACGAATATCAACAAGTCGCAGCAGTACGTAAGTCTTTCGAAAATACAGCACTCGATAGTAGGACTTACATAACAGGACACAAATCTTGGTTAAAAAGTGACGACAGTGCGTTGCAGGACCAACAGTCATACAAACAGAATTTACGACCTTACGCAGCAGATTAATGGTCTAAACTATGAAAAAATCAAAAACAATTTTCTAGCACAGCACGCCAAGTCAAGCGGTGGCTCGGCATGCGCAGCCCATCTCTAAGCCACCTCAGTTGATGAAAGTTCACAACCTTTGTCTAGTACCTTTCACCTGACCTTCACTTTACTCACATGCTGATCCCACCAAACGCAAGCAACGCTACGAAAATATCTGTGATCAAAACCCAGTAATAGCTCAGTGTCATCTACATTGAACGGCAGTGTCACACAGCCGCACAAAAGGGCAGAACGGACTGAAGAACAGTATACTCGTCCTTTGATAGATAGTTCGATATCTCGCCAGCGCCACAGGTGACGCTAGTGCTCACTAACATTACGTAAAAATAGATCAACTTTTTCCTCGGAATATAAGAACTAGGCCTTTGAGATATATATATATATATATATATATATATATATATATATATATATATATATATATATATATATATAAGATTAGAATATTTAAATTACTATTGCGGTATTATTACAGAAAGATTTTCTATGTTAACAGGAAGCTCCTAACCCAGGTTTCTGTGCATATTGATACTCGTCAGCAAGAAATATCTGCGACCTTACAGATTTCATATGCGATCAGTAAGCTAGTGAAAGTGGTGAGTTCAGTGAAATGTGTAGCATGCAACTGATTTACCTATTGGTATTTGTACATGCAAATTGGAAGAGAAAAACCGAAGACGATTTCGCTACAGAGAAGGAGAAGCTTAAGTCAATATAGCATAAGACTGACAATATAAACAATTTAACTTCTGCACCCTCTTCCGACAGAAGAGATATTTCTCATGAGACAAAATTTTGGGGCAAATGTTCTACTATGGAAACAGGAAAACCTAGATAGATAGGTAACATTGGATTTAAAATATGCTGAAACAGGTTTGTGGATCTGATAATCAAAAGCCTCTTATTTCAAGAACATGTGAACGAGAACCGACGAGGATTAATTACACCATACTGTGTACTTTTCAATCTTTCAAAGCCTCTATTAACGGTCATAAAAATACAACTCGAAAAAGTGGTCCACGTTTACATGATACACCATGAGCCCCACCCAATGTAAAATATTACTCGACTCGGGCGGGACATCAGTTCCGTCGAGGTTGCAGATACGCCTCGCTGACAAGTGCAAACAAGCACGAAACCTAGGTCCAGGGCTTCCTGCCGACTGCCTCAAACCAACTAACATCTATTATTTGACTCTCCACACCAAAATATCCAGTATGGATTTTAACCCATGATTCAGTAGCTAAAAGTAGGATGAATACACTGGACATAAAATAACTGGAACGATTTTTCTGACTAGAACTACAGAGCTGTTCTTAGTACACTTATATTCACTAACTGTTAATTAGAGTTGTGGTTCATTGGTTTACAGAGTTGACTTTCAAACAGTGGGTCGAGGGTTCGAACACTTTTCCACTTACCGAGGTCTGGGTAGCCGGGTAGTACCATTAGCCCTCATACAATAGGTGTGGATAATTGCCTACTATACGAATGTGCACAAGATTGCTGAGTGGGCTTACTTGATGGCTTCATTAACTAGATTTACGGACGTGACTAAAAATGCCTTTGCGAACAGATTTAATTGGACAACATCGCAATCCTACCTGATATTTCGCGACATAGTTTTCATTCGCAGATAAAACATTGTCGATGATATACTAGTAGTTAATCAATGAACTCAATTACCACCGAATAAATGATAACTACGGACATGTTAAGTATAGTTTTCTGTGGTGAACTTTCTCCCAACAAAAAGGGGAAATAAATGAAGTGAGATGCGGGTAATAGTCAGTCATTGAGAATCCATTATGACCCATATACTTCAAAACTGCTTAAGGCATATCTATCCTTTACCATCTCCCCTACAGTTTCATCTGACGTTTCAATTTAAAATATATTCAGGTTATTGGTTCAAATACCGCTACGATCCAGATTTTCCCGCTATATCAAATTAAGCCCCGTTTGCCAAACCACGACTACTTCAGATGGTCTCATCAATAGGTTGTCCTCTCACAGCAAGATTATAATCAAATCAAAATCTAAGTGATCAGCCATTCAAAAATGATAACATAATCAAGATCAATGACAACAGTTTAAGAGTTACCTCTTTTTTACGTAACCGGCTTAAACACGCTGCTTGACGATTTTTAATCATTCTTTCTTGCTTTTTACGAATACGTTCCAAGTTTGTGTGGCTGATAATACACTCGTTCGGTCCTGAGAAGTCCTGCATGTCAAGAAGTGATGTCGGTGATAAATGAGTATGGTTCCTCAAGAAAGAATTGGAATAGGTTGTGCAAGACACATTTTGCTGAAAACGAAGTACACGGCAGGGACCAAGAGTTATGATGGGTGCGGAAATAACATACAGGACGATAACTACGTGTATCGTACCAGAAACAAAACATTTCATCTCATTCTAAAAGTTACACCTGGAAGGTGCTTCGCATAATCGTTATCATTATCACCACAACTACTATTACGAAACACTGGTTAGTTTCAGTAAAACTGGCAAGCGAATAATGTGAGTGAAACGAAAGACGACACGCATAGGACGCGAATAGTAAACGAAATGCAGGAATAAATCGAAATACAATAATATGACAATGATTGAGTAAGCTTTCGTGGATTGGGCTACAAGTTACAAGACTTGGCCCTTTTGTCCTAAGGATATGAGGCGAATCTCAGTTTCTTCATCATCTCTGTAATATAGTAGCATCATGGAAGCAATACGGAGTTGCAACAGTGTGTCTGGATAAGAGAAATCAACATACAGTTAGTAACATTATTTGAGCTATGACTGATTGGTTTAAGCATTAAAATACCACTGACAGAAGTCACACAATGTATGTAGCTTATGGTTTGCAATGTAGGCTTGTATATGATTGCGTAGGTATATTGTAAATACAGTGATCGGATTCGCATTAACCCGTGAAAACGTCTTCGGTGATAAGCTAACAAATATGCTATCACAGCAACAAACATATCGACAACTTTATGCACGCTAGTATTTGCTACCAGATGAAACAAAGATGTCAGTCTTTTGAGGTGACTTATCTAATACCAACTGTTAGCTGAAACTTTAACTTCCCCAGCTATAAACCAACTTCGGCGTGAATTACGTTTTCTCAGTTCACGTAATTTTATTCAATAAAGTATATATATATATATATATATATATATATATATATATATATATATATCGGCTTGGCAACCACGTGCAGCTCTGTGAACTTGGGTATTAGACACACTAATTGTGAGGTCAAAAGGTATTTCTAGGTTGTTAAATTTTTGTAAGCAAAGTGCGGGTTCGGACTTCCGACTCACTGGTTGTCTTATCTAATATAGCACAGCTGTACCAAGCAAATAACCTTAACAGCTGATGTCAAACAGTTGTCTTCCTGAGGAAAATATGTAAAAGTATCGATGAAAACAGGAAGGTATGAAAGACCAGAAATACGATACAGCATAATCAGCTAGTTATTCTTGCAGACACCTGTTCGACCTTATTAGAGTACTGGAGGACATAAGACATAATCCTTAAATCATTTTGGAGGTATCTAAGCATTAGAACAAAAGGAATCCTCTTTGTAAGATGAATATTCCGAAAACTGTTTTATCCTAGACATAATGATTTTAATTTATATTTATTATGCTAGAAAATCAAGTCATAACCTTATTTGAAATATGACAACTGATACCCTCCATCACACCCAATAACCAGGTTCGAAATTTCTAACGAGTTGATTCCTCAAAGTTTCCTTCTTTCATTTTAGTTTGTTTATTAGATGTGACGCACAGCAAAACAGCATTATTTAGTTGTTGGCTTTATTATTTACTATCATTCAATTACTAATACGTTTCACTGTGAAATTTCATAAACAAACTAAAATAGAGTTGCCATTTACCACGGAACCCAAGTTTTACTACTATATTAAAGCTTCCTCCATAGGACTTTAAACGCAATTTCACGACTAACCAATAATAATATATAAAAATAATAAACCGGGACCTAAGACTTCGGGTGACTAATTTCATAATTGGAAAATCGTTTATAGCATTTAGTATGTATGATCTGACAGGTCCTCAAGATATTTTAACAAGACCGTTGTGAACATTATTGAACAATACAAACGTAAAACTGCTGCGAACTTCGGAACACTAATAAAAATAAGTCTAAAAAATGAAACGACAAACATTGAACACCAACTTACTAGATGCTCTTGCAGTATCGAGTCTGTAGGAGATGAACTTCCGCAATATTCATAAACTTCATTCGCTCCATTCACTCCAGAAAATAGTTCACCTAATGCTTTCACAGAGAAATTGATGCATAATTGCTTTAGTTATCAAAATGTTTAAGCTAATCATGTAAAGACTCAGGGAGCTAGTATGTTACTGTAAATAAACCCTTTTATTTAGTTATATAGGGATTGAAACCATTTAGGAACATCTTGATAGTTCAAAATAGCTGATAGGTCAAACTCAACAAATATGGTTCGATGAGTTAGTATCTTGTTGATAATATTCACTACGGATGTTCTTCCGTTTCACCTAAATGGTTTAACACCAGCTTAACCTTGATATCGAACGAAACACCAGTTAAAAATGCAGTGCTCACGTAGGCCCTCAGCAACAACTTTTCTGCTTTTATGGTAAGTCCATATGTCCGGAAATTCTCGAAGGCTATTTGAATCGATCACTAGGAGTAAGAAACGCGATAAAAAGCAACTCGCTAACAAATGATTTTCCATGACTTATATAACGCTGAGCACAGTAATCCGAAATACAGTTTAACCGGTCTGTCCTACCGGTTTCTTTGCTAGGAAAGCCAGACTTAGGCAAAATGGAGATAAATCAAAGTGACTTCGCACAGAATTCGACCAGTTCAAGGTTCTATACGCCACAGCAACATACGAAGAACAATGGGATACAAAAAAGTAGCACTAAAGTACACAAAAGTGTACGAGAATAGAAAGAACTCGAGAAATGATGACTGGTGAAGGTATCTAAAAATGTATACTGCTACACAACTGTGACTGATTTTCAGCCATATCACCAAGGGTCTCCAAAAATCTCAAAGACTCTCACAAGGCAAACCGCACCTCCTTACATGACTCAGACCAATCATCAAAAACTTCATGGACTAGTTCCATGTCTTGACTGACCACCCTCGACCTTCTTGAAACCCAGTCACACTTCGGCTGACATTGCACGTTGAGGAAGATGGCTGCTGGGTATGCGAAGTGCATGTCAGGGCCACCTCAGTCCCTGAAGGTTCACAACCTCTTCCACCGACTTGCTCAGTACGCTTCGCCTAACCTCGACATCGATCACCTGGTGATTCCGTTATACGCAAGTAATGCCACGAAGACACCAGCGTTTGAAAACCTGTAATCTTATCGCGTCTTCTGTTTCCAACGACCGTGTCTCAGCGGTATTACTGTGGTGCAGTGTACTTGTCTAGCAACAGATAGTCTAACATCTCGCCAGTCGACGACACAGACGGCGTAATTTGCCACTTGCCAAGTACGATTTTTAACCTTGTTGCTAGTGGAAACAACATGGCTCATTGGGAAGGCAGATACATCCAACTGACGAGTCTCAAATAGGACTCCATTGCTAGCCACTTTCTATCAATAATAAATAGGGTTTTTGTATTCGAGTTGAGATTCCGTTGCCAACTAGGTCATTTGAACTGATTCAACTACCCGAGTAAGTGAAGTGGTCAACACATTGTACCACTTCACCCTCTATCCTTAAGTTTGGAGTAGCTCCAAACCAATCCTGAAGCATCATGTTGCATTCAACAGATGCGAAACATACTCAGATTTCTGCTCAATGCGTTCGGAATACCTTGAACTGTGTCAGCGTCTTCGTCTAACTGAACAATGTTATTTGCGTAGTTCAAGTTAATCAGATACCCTTTTTGTAGGTGAACCGTTGTGAATTCTGAGGTACCAAGGTCTCTGTCCATTAGCATAACTATAATAAAGTTAAGCAGGATTGGTGACAACAGACATCCCTGGTAGACACCACTAGCTGTCAATTCAGATGACAACCCCTCATAAGCTGTAAAACATCTATGTGATCCCGAGTAGAGAGCGTCGATTGGCATTTCATGCTCAGTACTTCTGTCACAACTAGACACTCCCAAAACACCTCTTGGTTGGCGGAGTCAATAGTGGTCTTCAGGTTAAGAAATGTGGCAGGTTTCAAGTATGAATATGTTCTAAAACCTATTGAAATGTAGATCTACTAGATACATCCACGTACAAATTTGAAACTTGCTTGCTTGGTTTACTGTTCTACAGCTCCAGCTAGATGTTGGATAACTATAGACCGTAGGATCTTACGTACAATGTTAGTTAAACTGACCCATTTACCGTAATCATAAGAAGACTTCTTTTTTATAAACTGGAATAATAAACGATCTAGACCACTCCGATTGGACTACCTCTGATTCATATACACTGCAAGACATCTTCATCTCATTCATGTCCGGGTTGGATGCTGAGCAACTCTGTTTCAATATATTCGGTCAAACATTTCAGTCGCTTTTCGAGAGAATTTATCAGTGACCCAACCTTTTCCGTGCTGGTCTAACTAACAACCATCTTCTTACTGCTAGTGTCCTAATAAGCCTAAATAGTTGCCAAGTGTTACTACATCCTGATGCCTTCTCTATGTCTCTCGCTTTCATCACCCATTAGTGCTTGTGTGCATCGCAAAAACTCTTAGTAAATTTACGTTTGAGCTGCTTCCGCTCCTCATTCTGGTCACAGCCAGCTGCGATGAGTTATCTCACATCAATCAATTCGGATGACTGCGAAAATCCACTGGATTTTGCTAACCTTTGGATGTAGGTTGCCAACTGTCTACCCCTGTTTATAGAGCAGATTGAATATTACGCCAAGCTTCATCAAAACGAGAATTGCTGCAACGTTCAGATAAATGCTTTGCTATCTTCTCTCTACACACTCAACTGACGTTTTTATCTTTCAGCCGAGCACATAGAGGTTTCACTGATGCTTTTTTTCTGCGTCTGTTAAGGCGAAAACGCACACATGCCCTTACTAATGCACAATCGGAATTCGAGTATGTACTTCAAAAAGAGAGACAATCCTTTATCGATCCTCTTCAACTATGAGAAAATAATGTAATTTAACTGTGTTAATTGTTGACAGACACCAATGGAGGGGGTGTTTTTCTTCATTCTTGAAGTTAATGCTGACCAGAAACCAGTGGTTGTCAAAACGGAACTGTGTAAGACAACCAATGTTATTCGCTAGTCGGCATGTGACACCGTAGATACTTTTAACGTACCTTTCGGACTGGTTTAGCTTCCTAACTTCAGCGCTGAAGCTGCCTGCTACTATGATATCAGTTAAACAACTAACAAACAGAAATCAATAAGGAAGCATAAGTCGCGAATTTCAACATTTCTTCAGCGGACATATAACTAAATCGGCATTGGGTAGAAATTACTATTTTTCTCAGGAGTATATAGGGGAAGAGAATGAAAACAGAATGATGTCGAATCAAGCAAATGTACTAGAAGGGGAATACACGGACAGAAATCGGTTAAATATCTGAAATGCTGATGAAAAATCGACAATAATCCTCCGTCAGAGACTGGCTTCGAGCTCCCCTACCATTACTAACTTAGAGTATGCAGATGATATAGCCATTTTATATGATGCTGATAAACTGTAGTGTTTTTTAAACGCCCCGGGCAGTAATATCCTGGGATTCCAGCGTTTACACCACTTAACAAAATTACTGGTTGAAAATAATCTTACTTAATATAGTATACAGCAGTAGACAACGGTATGGGATGAGTAAACTATATTGAAGTTACTTGACAGATTAGATGCAAGTTCAAAATATTATCGACTGGACTGCTAGATTCTTCTCCAAAAATCAATTAAGACACTGCAATGAGCTAACCTATTGTCGACATTTTTCAGCATACTAGTTTGTGTTAATCTGATTTATGACAGTGATGCGTAGAAGACATATTATTGATCTTCCATCACCCTGCAAGCGTAGAACATCGTACTTTTGTGCAAGATTCCGTGTTGATCAGTTTATCTTGCAAGTATCCGAATCAGGCGTAGGTTAAACTGAAGTCAAGGGCTAGAGTGTATAAAATAATTTCCCTAAAGCTAATAAACACTACACAACTTCCAGGTAGTCTGTTGTTCACCTTATACGGTTGCTTCAGTATAGTAGACGACATAATGAAGGCTTAAGGAATAATGTTGTTTTTCTGATCATCAGAGTTTTACATAGCTGAAAAGAATGTAGACTTCAATTTTTTATATTTTCCTAACTTAAAAGCAAACTATTACGATTTGAAATAAATAAACAAAGAGTATTCTATTGGTTTCGATGGATTCACGAGAGAATCGAAATGCACGCAGCAACCACATGCACGTTTATAAACGAGCAACGAAACATTGTAAGGACATACGATGCCACACGGCTGCCCAAACCTCGGTAGGCGGAGGTTCAAACCCATGACACAAGTGACTAGGCACAGCTTTAACCAAGTCTACACAACCTGGAAACACGAGTGTCAGCCAATCGACCACCCACGAAGGGACAAGTAAATCACAAGTATTTCCGTATTCAAAAGGCAAATTTGAAAATGAGTTTAAAAGTGAAATCACTTGAATGTTCAAGCAAAAACCGCATAAATAATATCAGGTTTAAAGAAATGCTGGTTGGTTTGTGGTACTAGTGTAAAGAAGTACAAAGAGTGAGATAGTTCCAGAAGAAAGTGGCGATATTTGCAGGTTGCATTTCAGTTAACTGAGAAATTTCTAACTTAGATCGTCGTCGCGTTTGTGAGACTTTCGTCAAACAACCTTTTCTTCCCCAAGTTCAGTTACTTGTCGTGTGTTTTGCGTTAACTCAGAAGTTTTCATAACCTAAACTATATAAGTACTACCAGTTTTAAAATATTATTAACGTTACTAAAATATTTTAGACTTGAACGTACTCTAAACCTGCAGTAAAAGTGTTAACCTTGAATCTATGATTTCGCGAACAGTCCGAAGAGTAAGTCTAAGATAGTCATATTCATTGCATCACATACTCAAAAATTATTCTTAATACATAACTTACAACGGCGGTTTAAGTCTGGCTTGATAGGTGAACTTGTTGATGAGCTAGGTGAGAAGTTTGAAGATTGGATTGAAGAAGGACTGTCTGGAGATAATTTCACAGGAATACCTAAATACTTAGAAGTAGTTGGTATAACACCTGTAACAGGCACACTGCAGTCAATACCGGAACTTATGGTCTAAAAGTAAGGTTATGCAGAACATTGGAGGTACCGAAGAATTGCAAAGAAGACGTTTGCCCCCAAGAACATTCACTGTTATCCGTTTAAACTTAGGGATTGAAGGATTAGAACTAGATATCTTCACAAATGTCCCTCCTGAAGTCTCTTTGAAATCATTCAGCGCCTGGTACTTTGCGCACCCATCATTCTTGAACAGAACATTAGGAGTAAAATGTTTCGAAGATCCAACGACATCCGTAAGAACACGGTCAGTATCAGTACAGTTGGGTTGTGCATCCACTTCCAACTGCTGCATATGCTTTTCTCCAGCAACTGCTTGTGTACTCAGACGTCAGAAATTCAGACATACCACTTATACCACTATCGCTATCTGAGTTCTCGAGAAGCTCTGACGCTTTTGAAGCGAAATCAAGTTCCCCCACATCAATATCGTCAAACTGAGAGTAAAAAGATTATACACAACAAATAAGTTACCAAGTCCACCGACTGTAGAAACTCATCCATAGCATCTTCAAGACCCACTAGCAAAAAATGAAAAGGAAGTTGTATGTTACTCACACAAACTCTCACAAGTCATGCCGAAACATACAGTACGCGGTCCGACAATAACCTTGGTGTCTTGATTGTTTGACCTTACAAGGGATTTTTGAGTTTGATGCATACAAAGGAGAGCCGCGTTGCGAAAATATAAGTTATTTAATGTGTTCATATGATTCCTTGTACCAATACTCTCCGTAATTATTCTTCTGCGTAACAAAGGCGAAACTCGCTGCCTGTTAGAATTCAGAGCTTATAAATATAAAGGGGGAACATCGGAACAGATGAAGGTCAAGCTTCAAACTTCGTTGTAGAGTTAGTGAACTGCGGTTCCTTGAGTTCTACGTCTGTCGCAGAAACTCTGGTGGTCAGTGGATAATGAAGCTTGTCATACGACAGGCTAAGAGATCTTCACATGTTTCTACTGTCTTTCTGCAGACTGGAAAGTTCCTAATTTCAGTTAACTGTATCTTAAGTAGTGATTCGTGCGATGATGCCAGAGACATCGGTATGTTTTAACAGGCACGTAGTTCACCACGGTCGAAGAACATGGTTGCAGGTAAGTCTGTTCATGTATGACTCACCTGTGCACAGAACCTGACGAATAGTTATCTGCAGTATATGCAGTTGAACATTTGAAAGGTCTTTGATACTGCCAACCTCTAGGGGTCAGCAAAACAATCCACAGAGACACAGACCGGTGAAACTACTGTCCAACCCTTCCAAAACAATGGAATCGTTAATATGCGATGGACTGATGGATTACCTCACAAAGATCAACTTCTCGGCGCCCCAACAACGGATTTCGAAAAGGGTACTCCTGCATTACCAATCGGCTCACTGCAGTAGTTAGGTGGACTAGCATTGTTGACTGTCGAGGACGAATTCATGTTATCTACCTAGACTTCGCTGGAGCGTTCGATCGTGTGAACCACGACTGCCTTAACGATAAATTGAAATTAACCGGGACTAGAGCCCCGCTCACTGACTGCTTGTCTTCATATCTACGAGGCTGTTCATTTAGAGTTCGAGTGAGTTTCTCTATGTCCGAACAAACAGAACGTCCAAGTGGCGTTCCTCAAAGTTGAGTACTAGTTCCTCTACCTTTTTTTATATACATAAATGACTTGAATAGACAGATTCCATCCGAAATCATTCTTTTTGTCGACGACGTGAAGCTTTGAAGGGAAATCAGAATTCAATACAGTGTTTCTCCACAGGAAGGCTTAACTCAACCTCACAACTTGGCAGTCATCAACGAGCTTGCATTTAACCATAAGGAATGAAAAGTGATGCACTTAAAACACGATACACCCCATGTTTATAGCCACAACAGCCTGGAACTTGAAGCGTCAATGACAAAGAAGGATTTGGGCATATTTATCCCTCAAAACTTAAAATCCTATGCCAACTAAGAAAGAAACGCACTTCGCGAGAATTTGGCGTTGGTAACTATCAGACGAATTTTCGGACGGTTCAACCGCAGATACTTTCACCAAATTTTCAACAGCTTCACATGGCTTCACCTGGAGTTTGGGACCATCGTCTCCCCTCTTCTCTCCAGAACGACAAACTAAGTTGAGAACGCATCTAGATATCAGACACAACTACCCCCTAGGAGTTGTTGAACCCTGGAACGCTCTTCTAGAGGATGCGATCCAGGCTACTTCATCTAAATCGTTTAAACGTCGGCTGGATACTTACTTGACATTTGGCTGGGATCTGCCCAAATCTCATTGAATTTTCACATTTTAACGCCACTTTTTCCTCCTTCTTTACTTGTACACAGGTTAGCAACCAGAAGAAGTAGTGATCCGCGAAGTGTGGACGCGGAAGTCAGTTAGGCGAGAGCTTCTTCTATTTCATCAACGACCGTTTAAACCACTTGTGCTCTCAAAACTAGAGGCTGTCGGGTGTTCGCGGCAAAACTCCAGCCCTGCTTCACGCCTATGTACAACGCGCTACTTCATTGAGAATATTTCCGAATGCAGCTCAGTCCAATATCCCTGCAAGAGTGGTGCTTTGTAGGGCTGACTACCTTCTCATCACCCACCTGCCCACTAATATTTAAAGTTTGCCGCACCGACCTAGTGAAGACTCTAGAATCACCACTAGCATTCTTTAGAGCTGAATGACGACTCGATGAAAACTTAGCAAAACATGAAAATGTGATGGACTGCAGCGCCACGTATGGCAGGTGGCTGAGAGGACGTAACAAAACCGCCCAGAGTCTGGCGCAAACAAGTGCAAGGTTTTGCATTTCAGATGCTTCATGGACCGTGAGCGTGTTGCATGAAGTGGTGTTTTGCTGAAGGTTAGCCACGAGCTTGACGTAGAAGTGCCGATATCTTACAAGCTCGCCACCTACATCCATCTTTCTAGAACTGTAAACAAAGCAAATGTCATGCTGGGAGCGCCTCTCAGAGTGTTAGGTGGGTTCAGCTTTTCCAATCGTATGCGACATCTATCTCTGCGCATACCTATATGACAGATTATAGCATACCTTCTTCACCAGAAACAAGACGGGCCCCTGCTTGACAAGGCAGCGTCTCAACCTACATTTCTTTGTAACCTAGGTGATCGCACGACTTAACACCTATTTCTTAGAATTCTTCCCTCAAAATAATCTCTTTACCCCTGATTGATAAATGAACTGTCTGTCGGTGGATCTTCTTAGCATGTAATATGTTCTGTTATTTGCCCTTTGTTATCAGTACCTACATGAAAGTACTCTGTACCACCATATTGTTTCTATAGCGCCGATATGGTAACAATCAAACACCATGATCATCCCTCCATCATGACTACATAAAGCGTGGTTACCGTCTTAGCAGAAACCATGAATTTTATTTAAGTGCTGATAACCTCATTAGGCTTCTGTTCATAGGTTTGTAACCCAAGCTAATGCCTGGTCCAAAATTCTCTAATCTCTCTACCTCATGGTGATATCTTCGGCTTCAGATTAGTTTCAACTACTTTCGTGCTCACTTTCATCTCCCTCCACATAAGCTTACCTCTGTATAGTCGGTTTTGGATACTTCTTCAAGTAAGTTTTGTAGTCACTGCAAAGAACTCACCCAGATGTATCATGACTGATCTACTCCTGCCTAGTATTTTTGTGCTCCTGCTCCGAATTTCGCCCGCTGCTCTCTTTTGTTATTCCTTTTTCAGGTTTACCCAACCAGTCCTGCATCTATATGGAGTCCTAGCAATTACGTTTGTTAGTCTGCACCATGCCATCAAAACTTTGTGACGAACGTACACACCTCAAGATCATGACCGTTCTACCTGCAGCACCTTCGAAAATACTGCAAGATTCAAACAATAGCCATTATTATTATTATTATTAGTCCCTTGGGTTCCTAGTGGAACATAGGGCTTCAGTAGCACGCCTCCAGTGACCTCTGTTCTCTGAGATCTTTTGAACCTGGTCCCACGACAGCCCACAAGCCCTCATTTCCTCCTCACACGACCTCCTCCATGTCACCCTCGGACGTCCAACTCGTCGCTTCCCATGGGGATTCCACTCGAGGGCCTGACGCGTGATGTCCTCAGTCGGCCTTCTCAGTGCATGGCCAATCCATCTCCACTTCTTCCTGCATATTTGTTGCGTGATAGGTTCTTGGTTGGTTCGTTCCCAGAGTTCCTTGTTGCTTATTTTTTCTGGCCATCTGATCTTCAGCAGCGAGCGTAAGCAGTTGTTGATGAATGTCTGTAGTTTATTGGAAATGCCTTTCGTGACGCGCCAAGTCTCTGAGCCATACAAGAGCACTGACTTGACGTTGGTGTTGAAAATCCGTATCTTGTTCCGTATGCTGAGTGCAGAAGATCTCCACACTGGTTTCAGGCTAATGAACGCCTGTCTTGCTTTTCCGATTCTGACTTTGACGTCCTCGTCCGTCCCGCCTGTAGTTGAAACAGTGCTTCCTAGATAAGTGAAGGAGGTTACTTCCTTTAAGTTTCTCCCGTTGACGGTGATTGGAGTTTGTTGTTGTTGTTGTTGATGGTGGTGGTGCGGTATCTTCATCACTTCTGTCTTCTCTATATTCACCTGAAGTCCCGTCTTCGCTGCCTCTTCTATCAACTTGTTAGTTTTTGCCTGCAGATCTTCAAGTTTGTGTGACATTAGGCACAAGTCATCGGCGAAATCCAAGTCTTCTAGGTTCTTTTCCGTCGTCCAGTGTATCCCCCTCTTCTCGCTGCCTACTGTTTGCTGCATGATCCAGTCCACCACAATAAGGAATATCATGGGGGATAGTAGGCAACCTTGTTTCACTCCTGTCTTCACTTCAAAGGCATCACTGAGCTTCCCATTGTGAATTACTTGGCATGTGGCATCTTCATATAGTTGTTGAATGAGGCGGATAAAGGTTTGCGGTACTCCGTAGTATTGAAGCAGTTTCCAAATTACTTCTCGGTCGACGCTGTCAAAGGCCTTCTCAAAGTCGATGAAGTTGAGGTAGAGAGCTGATTGCCATTCTATGCTCTGTTCTATGATGATGCGAGGCGTGTTGCAATTTGGTCGGCACATGATTTGTACTTCCTGAAGCCTGCCTGTTCCGGTCGTAGTTTTGAATCCAGTGCGTCTTTAAGCCTCTCCAGGATGATGCGGCTTAATATTTTACTTGGGGTGGACAGGAGAGTGATTCCGCGCCAGTTCTTGCAAGCACTGAGGTCTCCCTTCTTCGGCAGTTTGACAAGGTAACCCTTCTTCCAATCGTCAGGTACCTTCTCTTCCTTCCACACCTTCTGCAATAGTGGTGTGAGCATGTCCGCTGTTGTCTCTGCATCTGTTCTCAGTGCTTCTGGCGGTATTCCATCTGGTCCTGCTGCTTTCCCGCATTTCAGTAGCTTTATGGCGTTCAGGACTTCCATTTTCGTTGGGGGATTAATGTTCACTTGTAGTTCAGCGGCTGCAGGTGGTATTTCTGGACGAAGTGCAGGTGGTGGTCGATTCAAGAGCTTCTTGAAGTGGTCGGCCCATCGTTTCCTCTGTTTCTCTTCTTTTGTAATTAAATTTCCTTCTTCATCTTTTATTGG